AGTTGCCGGACACGGAAAAAGACAAAAAAAAAAAAAAATGTTCTATGAAATTTACAAGTCAAGGGTTGGACTTAAAAACAGACCAGACACAATGGAAAAGATCAGTGAACTTGAAGACATAGCATAATTTCTGAAATAGAAAGAAAAAATTGCTAAAAAACAATAAGTCTCAACCTGTAAGACAATACCAAGTAGTCTAATACACATGTAACTGCAGTCCCAGAAGAAGGGGACAAAAACACGTCTTAAGAAATAATGGCTGACATTTTTCCTCAACACAATAATCTGTGAACCCCTAAAACACTCAGCAAACACCAAGCCAAGAAAATAACACAAAGGTACAACATAAACTGCTGAAAAAATAAAAAAAAAGTTTTTACGTTAAAGAAAACTTGTACAGAAATAAAGATATTAATACAAAGAAACAAAGATAAGAATGACCTCACATATTGTTAAATATTACATCATGGTATAAAGTGGTATGGGATAATTTGAAGGTAGACTGTGTTAAGTTAAAGAGCAAATATTTATTAAAAAAAAAAATAAACAAAGAGGAATGGCCACTATGCTGAAAGTGGAGATAAAAATGGAATGCATCAATAATGGTATCTTACTATAATGAAATACTACACAGCAATGAAAAACAATGTACTACTAAACTTACTCATCAACGTAGGTATCTTAGAGAACACATGGAATAAATAAAACTACTCAAAAATATTTCACTTTTAAAAAGTTTAACAGCATGTAAAACTGAACAATATAGTTTGGAGTTACATACACATATGGTAAAACTATAAAGAAGCAAGAGTATGATAAAATTTAAGATTGTGTGTGTTACTCTAAAGGCAGAAGGGAAAGACACACAGGGGTTTCAAAAATACTGAAAATACATTTCTTAAACTGGATGTATGTTGTATTATATTACTTTTCAGAGCTTACCCATGTTGCAAAATATTGTTTTGCAACAATTCAATATTTTATAAATGACAATTAACATTCACCTTAAAACTGTTCACCTGATCTGGAAAAGGAATCTCCATTTGCGAAAAGTCTTAATGTCCAGAGATTCCTCTTCCCTCTAGGATCTTTCCCTGTTAATTACTGCTTCCATCATTAAGTCATACAGTTATTCCTTTAATGATCAGAAGGAATAATCATAGAGACACTAGATGAAAACTGCAAGGTCCACACCAGTGTATACACTATATTCTTTCCATAATAGGAGAGAACCAAAAGAATATACGTAGTCATTTGTAAAGTCACAGAAGTTATCTGGAAGAATACATTTATAAAATAGTAGAAACTGGGGGTGGGAGGGATGAGGGGCTAGAAGAGATAGAGGATAAAGAAAGACCTTTTACTATGTATGATCTTTCTGAATTGTATTTTTTGAATCATACCTACTCAAAAAAAAGTCTGACGTTTAAAAAATCAGTTCAGCCTAAGCAGATACTACTGCCACAAAAGGACTAAGCAATCCCATTTGTACTAATAATACTTGTCCACATGAAATAATCAGAAAAATTAATTTTTACACAAAGGATGTCAAAAGTTATGTATATTTCAAATACTTTCACATGAAAAGACTGACTTAACTATCGTAAAGTTTATCCCAAAGAAAAATAAAATCTTTGCTTAAGAACTTCAAAAACTAAAAATGAGACTTTCAGAATTTTCCTAATTTATATCTTAACATTTCAAAGACAGCAACCTTGAAGTTTAATACAGAGCCTTGACAAATATTCGCCTCAGAAATACAGTTAATCACATTTTCATCACAATTGTGTCCTGGCTTTACACAGACAATATGCTTATAAAAAATTTAAATTATGAAACAAACTAGAGAGCTGTGAGAACCTCACCATTTAGAGTGAGACCATGAAAACAAAGCCTAAAAAAGTTATACAAGTTGTCTAAGTCATCAAAGTAGACTCAGGCAAATAACCACTCCTACAATCCCGGCACAT